ATTTTAATTGACGAATTTTTTTTTTTTTTTTTTAATATACCCTTTTTTATGCAACCAGAGACGGACACCATCATTGTGATCTGGGAATCACAATAATTTTAGCGGCCAGTTCACTTCAAAAAATATTTGTATCGCTCCATAAAAAGAGATAATAAGGAAAAATTAATTTTTTTTACCAGGATTACGCTAATCTTAGCTATTCTCATCGTGCTATAGACAGTGGACCAAAGGGCAAATTATTTGTTTTAGAATATGAATCGAATTTATAATAACGATTAATCAAGCCAATCGTTTAGCTATATGATGATTTAATGATATTATGTTTTAAAAAATAAAAATGTGAAATTAAAAAAGGATACTTACTTAACGGTTTCATCCACCCAACGCCCAATTTTCGACTTAGTTCGTTCAGTCTAAAACATAAGAATCAAATAAAATAATTATGTATTATTACTCAATTTTACTTTAAAGAATTTTTTTTTAAATATATTTTTTTTTTATTTTTGATAGTTATTATAAAAGCCATATAACTTTAAAAGCTTTAAAATATTTACTTTAAAAAATGAAAAATACGCATCATCTCTAAAACAATAGCTAATTAATTGTGATATTAATAGTTTCTATTTACAGAAATTAATCAAATAATAAATTGAACGGATGATATTTACAATTCATCGAAATCACAAACCCTGACGTACACGAGACAATAAGATACTTATACAAAATCTGATTGAAGCATAAAAATAGAGTAATACTTAATTAAAGATTGATACAGAGCATTTATAACAAAATGTTACAAGAACTGTGTAAAAATCGCAAAGTTTAGAATATTTTTATAAAAAGATTTTCAAATAAATTTTTTTATAAATTATTGTCTATTCTACAGAAAGACGGAGGAAAATATACTAAGCCAAAGTCTTTTATAGCATATTATTCCTAGCTCTCCTAGGAAAATGAAATTAACGACAATAATAAATCAACCTAATGGTCCATTTATATCATATAAGTGTGAGTTATAATTAATTACTCATAGCAACGAATTTTGCGTAATAGATTGCACATTTTGTCACATATCATGTCTTATTAGTCCTGCAAGAAGATAAGTTTTACTTGTTTTACGACATATTCTAATGTCAATTTTAAAATACACTAATTATTTAAACCTTTAAGTATAAAGCATATAAGTATAACCATTCAAAGTAAAAATAGTTTTTGGAAAGTTGTTTTATTTAATGATATTTCGTAACATACAATGACAGAGGTTCCCTGCATTATTTATAAAAGGGTTGATTGCAGATCAATCAAATGATTGATTGCATTTGTGAATAGATTTTTTAATACTTCGAGTACGCATTGCCACTAAGTAGACCTTCAAGTGAATCAACTTGAAAACCCTTTTTTTTAATAAATAGCGAACGGGATGAAGTTTTATTTTAAAATTTATAGTAGTCGTTTAAATTTAGTTATTGTTTTAACAAATTGTATTACTTAAATATAATAAAAGTTTTTTTTACATATTTGACAAACAATTAACGCTGAGTTGGCTTTTACAGGAGAAAACAAAAAAACACTAACAGGATTAAAATGTAATATTTGATTTAATAAACATTATGTTCAACTATTTTGAAACAACCAGAAATTATTACAAATGTAAGTAAGGAAAAACAATTTTTAATCAGAACATTCGACAATGAAAAATAAATTGTGGTTGGGTACTAATTTGCTAAGAAAAATTGGATCAACAAAACACATAATCATAATTGT